AACAAATTAAAATTTAAAGCTCCTAAAAGTTTGTAACTTAATGGAGATGACTAAAGATAAAAGGGTGTACCTTAATCAAGCATGACTTTTTTTTTCTGGAGAGGATATAAAATTTCACAATTTTTTGTCGCTTGAGAAAATCATATCATTTCGAACCCAGTATTAAATGAAAGGATACTGCCTTGATATTTGGATCGAGGGTAGTAGATGTCTTCACATTTGGGGCAATATATTTTGACGGTGCTTGATCTTGGAATGTCTGACTGACCAACGGGGAGGCAAGGCTGTCCACAGCAGTAAACTCGTGGGCATCTCCCAAAGTCAAAGTTTTTGTACTTCTCTAACTGAAAAGTTACAAAAGAAATGAGACATTTTCATTATAGAGTCATAACAATTATGTAAAGGAAAGTAGTTTTAGACAATCTTTTACATAAGATTACCATAGCAGCCATTCCCTTGCTAGTCAATATATATCGTACATGAATAAGCCCATATAACATCTCTGCTGCTGATTCAACAAGTTCATTCTGCTCTTCAGTGAACATATCACCTGTGCATCCATAACATAGAGGGGATATACCGATAAAGCCTTGGAAACTTTTTAAATGACTACCAAATGTGTAGGGAAATTGGAGTCATTACCCACTTTCTTGTTCTTGAAGGATCAAAATGATGTTATATACAACATAAAACTCTTCAAAGAAAAGTGGAGACTAATTTGATAAACCAAAACTTATATCGGAAACACACATTGCCTGAAAAATGATTTCATGCGGTAAATCAACCCCATATATTATATTCCAAATAACAAGCAAACAGTTTACTCTATCCTTGACTTGTAGATTCCTTACCCTTTGGCTTTCCCCAAGATGTTCTTATTTGGCCAAACCTATTTTTCTTCAAAAAATATTTTAAAAATACTCATTATATTGAACTTATCTGTAACTTATTTTGTCAAATAACATGGGAAATTAACTCCATTAAATAAGGAAGGGTACCTTTTTTTAAAATAAAAATCTTTTGAAACGTGGCTTTTTTGGTGTACGAAGATGTAATAAATATTATGGAATATTATACATATAGTCAACACCAAAGCACCAGACCCTTAAATAATGATAAATGAAATTATTCCATCAAGCCATACACTGGCTGCCTACCGTCACCATGACTTTCATACCCTTCTTACTTATAATGATTCCACTCCACATGAACTTACCAAAAAGATTCTAACGTAAGGGTGTCATCATTCATCAACAGAACAATGGGAATAAAAATATCAAGTTCTCGAAATGATAACTTTGAAATATCTAAATAATCTATACACTCACCGTGAGAGGATTCAACATCGAGAATAAGGTCAAGTGCATAGTCATAGTAAGGAACTTGACTGCTTAATCCACAAAGGTTAAAATCATCTTGGATATATTCATCATCAACTTCACAGAAGAACTCATTTCCTCGGAGGTTGCAGAACCACGAGATCCATGATGTATCGTCCCCATCAGAGCCACTAACATCAGAATCTTCACTGTCTGTTTCAGATTCTTCTGCACAATACAGAAATTGCAGGATGTTATAGCACTCCAAATGCAAATGACCATATGCAGATGCAAGGACATTAAGTATTTGACATTATGTATTGCAGAGAGCTAAGCATGTTATTAAACTCTAATGAAATTAAGCAAGAAAATAGTATACAAAACATTTAACTAGTACAGTACAAATCTATATGTAAAAAATTTATTCTTAATCGCTGATTGTATCCCCAGCGGTTGATCAAGGACATATAAACCCATGGTACCAATGTTCAAATAATCCCAGTGTGTTAGGTGGACTTGAGCGTAAGGGAATGACTGCCTTTCCATGACCTGATGGTCTTTGTGCTTGCTTATAAGGTATCCTCTCTCCCAATGATTAAAAAATTAATCTTGGGTGTAAGCTCATGAACAAAAAATAGGTTCTTTTCAACGTAATAAAAGCTTAAGGATCTTGTAAAAAATCAAGCAAGATTTTGATTGAGGCACATCAGACTCAACAGTAGTTGCAGTACGATGCTTAGCAGAAATTATAAGCCAAGACCATGTGACAATGCTAGCACCATTGCTTCCTTGATGTTTTCATGTCAATTAAGCATTACATGAGTAATGAGCACTGAAATGTGGTTTTAGGAAAAAAAGAGAGCATGTGAGGGTTGATTTGAAGCTACCAAAATGGATAGCACCAACCAACAAGACGTATGAGATAGTGAGAGGGAGAGTGTCTAAAATCATGGTTGCAAGCCTTGTATGTGCACTATCTAAATGGATAGAAAAATTGCATTTGAGTATAGAAGGAATCTCGTGCAATATACCAACATTCCGCCCATGTTGGCAAAGCCAACCACTACACATGCTCATCATGAACCCCACATGCTTACCATACCTTAAGCATGGACCATGGGCTATTTTACACTATGACCCGTTTTAATTCTGTGTTCTTCAGCTCTTTGCACTCAATCACTCGGTCATTCTGTTAATCTATTCAAACTTATATATTTATGTCCCCAATTGCTATCCACACAACCCCCGCCATTTAATGAAACAATTCAGTGCTTTGAGATATGTCAACTTACACACTAAATGTGATTTAAAGATAGGATGGTATAATGAACAGACAAAACATACTGCAGCCACAGATATATCCTTTTATTCTTTAAAGACTTCTTACATATCAGACAACAAGAGAAATAATTCTCGATTCAAAGTTACACTGCTAAGAAACATCCAAGATTTTTTTACTCCATGAACTGATTGCTCAAAATTAATAAGCAACAAGACTACTTAACAAGGACAGTTAATTTTCACCCCATAAGACGATGCATACCAGCATTTATTTACTGCGAGCCATAAAAAACCAATTTTTAAAGCGAACTAGTAAAAAAAATGTCCCAAGTCGGGGTTTTGAAGCAAGGAATCTTACCAGAGCACTTGTTTTTTGCTGGAAAAGCAGAAGAGGAGCGATTGTCGCGATGGTCGATATGCTGCAATTTGCCGCCAGCACCGGCGGCGGCGACGGAGGTGGACGCCTTCTCCTTGGACGACTTGGAGGTGGAGGGGGACAACTTCTCCAAGTGCTTATCTAACACATCGTTGATTCGCTTCCGATCCAACGCCCCGCCGACGATCTCAGACTTGGACGACCCTCCTCCTCCGCGATCTCTGTACATTTCTGGATCCCCTCTCAGACGGATGGCGCGGGTTTCGCGAATCCAATAATATATTTTATGAATCTATCTAGATATTATGTGCTATTTACATGAGGGATTTCATATGAGATGCAAAAACCCTAGATATAGCAGTAAAATTGACGGGAGATTGGAACTGATAACAATAATTATAGAAATATTTAAAAAAAAATTTGGGGGAAGGGGTTAAAGTCATAAACACAGTGTTAAGAGTGTGTTAGAAAGAGAGGGGAGATCATTAGGGTTTCGTTGTCCGGATAGATGATGACAAGGGCACTGTAACTTCTCATGTTCTTAGTTTTCTCTCTCCTAGTTTTACCCTTTTCTTCTTGTCACCTTTTCATATTTAAATATGCTTTGGCAAAATAAAGAGGTATGGAGCATAATTTAGAATTGGACCAACATTAAATCGATCAAAGTAGTGATTTATTGATTCACTAGTCAAATTAGCAGTTCGAATGATTAATCCAATAGTACACACTACACACAATATAATAAAAAATACTTTCTCTATCTAATACTCCCTCTGTCTTAAAATGTTCTTCTCAGTTTTACTTTTCTTCATTTTTAATTTTTGGGTTTGATTTCAAATTTTACCTTCCTTAAAAAAAATTTGAAGTTTTTTTATGCAACCATTCAAAATATAGAGTTAGAAGATAATTGGTCTAAATACATGAGGGTATTAATGTCATTTGTCATCTTTTTTTTTTCTAATGGAAAGGTAGTTTTAGAACGGAGAAAAAAGGGAAGTGGGAAGAATATTTTAAGACGGAGGAAGTAATAAATTGTTTATAATGTATTGCTAAAGGGATATTCAATTTAATTAATTTAAATAGTAGCATTAAACTAATAAAATTATATATTATGAAATACTTAAAAATTATAGTAAAAATTTTATAAAATAGAAGGAGATTTTATTTGTTTAATATTTTCAAAACTTATTTAAATTAGATATTTTCTTGGTATATACTCCGTACTCTGTATTTGTAGAATACATAGTAGTTAAAAGTGTAAATCATAGTTATAACAATATATTTTTTAATGTTTTATGAAAAGAAATTATTTTAGAAATTTTATTTTTTTAATCAAGAAATGCATTATATTATACCACTTTATGCAAGTCATGACACGAGACCACTTTAGATAAAGTGGTGGGTATTTGAATATAGAAAACATGAGATTTAGTGTTAAAATCATAGGGACAGTAGTATCAGGTGGTTCCTATCGATTTTTAGCGGTTCAAGTCGATTCCTAGCAGGTTGCGGTCTTTCAGCACACAATCACTCTCAGATTCCATTCTACTCAACCATATATTGATTCTTCTCCTCTTTTGCCTCATTCTTGCATTCAACCAATTTCAAGAGTGAAAGTAAGGAGGGATATGAATCATCAATTTTACAAATGGAATATCATAGATCTCTGAATCTGGACAGTGACTTCCGTGGCCACTGAAACTAGTGATCACGGAACTGTGCCGTTTCTTCAACGAGTGGATTCAATGACCACGGATGCCACTGAACACCTATAATGCTCCATTGGTAACATTAATGATTTCTACTTCTCCTAAACCTTCCAGTAAACCTCCCTTCCCAATCTCAACCCCAATACATCCCTACTTATGTTAATTACACCCGACAAGTATAATTGATTTTAAAGTCTAAAACTTTGATTTCAAAAGTCAATTAAAATTGCAAAGTGTAATTGAGGAGAAATGAGTTGGGGTTTGGACATGGTAGAAATAGCCAATTTTACACATCCTTTTCCTTTGATAAGAGAAAACGTTTAAGCAGACAGCGGGCAAGCGGAGAACCGCCGGCGACTCTGAGACTCTCGACTAGTGCGCAGGTTCAACATCTTCAATCTCGATTTAACATAGGGTTTGCAAATCCGACCTCATGGGACGGGAAAGGACACCCACGACCCCATTGTTGGGAGCGTAGGGTTTAACGAGGAACACCACCTCCCGGAACGGGAAGATGTAGGCTGTCTCTGAGGATCAATTTGGGGGCGCAGGATCCCAATTTTCTGTTTTTTTTCTTCTGGGATTTCAATCCCCGTCTGATTTGAACTCGAATCCCCAAAAAACCTTAATGGGTAATGGAATTCAATTCATTTGTTGAGGGAATTGAATTCCATATAGGTTTCCAAACCGGCTGTAAGCTTGGGTTTCTCTACTTTGTGCAGTAGCATTTGAATCCCTGGCTATTCTTTACATAAATTTATCTTATTTTTTTCCAGAAAAAAACAATGGAAAATGCTATTAGGAATCTGAAGATCAAGACGGCGTCTTGCAAACGCATAGTGAAGGAGCTTCACTCATATGAGAAGGAGGTGGAGAGAGAATCCGTGAAGACGAATGACATGAAGATACGTAACGCCGATCCATATGACCTCAAACAACAGGTTTTCTCTGTCAATAGCCATCCGTTTCTGTTTCACGGATTCATTTATCTGTTACGGGCGAAATGGAGCAGATGCAGCTACAACAAGCTCAAAAATATATGGCAGTTTCGATATGTTATAAGCTTTAAAATTAGAGCTGAATGTGTCAGGATAAACAACAGATCAAAATTTTATAGGAATGTGTAAGCTTTAAAATTTAGTTTAAAAAACAGATCAAAATTTTATAGGAACGTGCAAGCTTTAATATTTAGGTTAAACGACAGATCAAAAATTTATAGGAATGTGTAAGGTTTGTGTACACCTACCCCAGACTTTTTGGTTAAATAAGAACACAAGGAGGATGCCGAAATTATATTATTATTCATCCTTAAAGTCTATACATATTTGTGGCTTTGCATTCCTTGTGTTTTTTAAGTCCTCATCTAAATACAAGGACTAACAAGTAACAACTTCACTTCCACTATGTTTGGGTTGAGGAATTATGAAGGAAAGGAAATTGTTACTGAAATTTGGCATGAAAAGTACTTTTCATGATCTCTTTGTTGAAAGAGAGGTACTGGAGGGAGAGAAGAGGGAGAAATTGAGCGATTAGGAATTGAATGAAGAAGTTGAGCAACTATGGATTGAATGATATTGAGAAGACTTACCACTGGGTTTCTCCTTTTCCTAACCGAGTTGGAAGAAAAATTGGTTTTTCCCTTTCTAGTCCACTTTTTCCTCACTTTTCATGTCCTCACTAACCAAACAAGAAAATTTATTTTCCATATCAATTTCTTTTCTTTTCCCTACCAAGTCTTCAAGACTCATACTCCCTCCGTCCCTAAATATTTGCAATGTTTGCTTTTTCAGCGTTGCGGGAACTTTTGTTTATTTCTACGTTTTCATTGATTATTTGATAAAATAAAATATTCTCAACACCTCTTATTTCGAAGAGCTTTTCATATAGTTTTTTGATATGTAAATTTTATTTTTTATTTCTATACCAATATGTAAATAAAATGAATTGAAAAAACTTGATATTTTACCTTGGGAATACAAGTGTGGCAAATATTTAGGGACATAGGGAGTATATTTGCACTTGATAACCATGACATGTCAGCAATGAACCTAGTATAATGACTATAATCCCAACCCTTGTGGGGTGTGGGAGCTCAAGATGTTCGGAGCCTTACCCATGAGAAGGAGAGAGGTTATTTCGTTAGAGACTTTGACCCTTGCTGCATAAAACTTCACAGGAAGTACTTCGTAACAAGCAAGGGAAGTTTCATGTTCCATTTTGATTTAGTCCATTAGTTACCTCTATCGAACACATCGTCCAAAAATGATTTTTAGCTACATTAGCAATAGAGCATCGATGACCATTTTCATATGGGAAATAATTTTGAACTTTGAAGAATCATCAAATGCTAACTTGCATGGACATATCTTTAGTGTAAAATTGTTGTGCTTCGTCTAATTGGGTAATTAACCCTCCATTATATCCAGATTTCATTCTTTAGTTGCATTATTATGCAGGAAAATGTGTTGGCCGAGTCGAGGATGATGATTCCTGATTGCCACAAGCGTCTAGAAACTACTATGGATGACCTTAAAGCATACCTGGTTGGTACTCAAATTTTGTTTGACTTTTTTTTCCCATACCAAGATACAAGATTCTCTAGAAAAGTAATCCCAAAGAACTATCTTCGTTCTTCTAAAGATTGTTTCTGGCTTCTTTGACCTAGGAGCAGCGTTATAAAAATTCACACATAGGCCTTCTTTGTTTTCTTTTTCTCTTAAATCGAGTGCGCCTAAATTCCCAATGGTAGCTTTTATCCTCAAAACAACAGAGAACTCCGTAATTGGCTGCTAAGAAGGAAATCTGTTTATTCTCAGGTGGAGCTCAACGAAGATAAAGCCCCCGATGAGGTAGTTAAAGAAGCTCAAGATGTCATTGCTGAAGTAGAACGCCTGCTTCCACAGAGCAAACCCAATCAAGAAGGGACCGAGGTTGAAGAAGCTGGAGAAGTTTAAGGTTGAACGGCGTGCTGGGTTTTCTGGATTTCATGTTTTTTTTTTCTGCAGCTCTGTTGTTCTTGACATTATATTACCCATTTTTCATCCACTGCGTCAAATTTCATTCTCTCGGACTCTTTATTCTTAAAGGCGTGTTCATCTGTTGTGGGTTTGCCATGGCTCAACATGTAAAACAGCACCATATGCTTGCTTGGTGGTAATTGGACAAATTGCTCTTTGAATATGCGACTCATGAGGGGCTTTTTTTAAAGCCAAAATTCTGTACCCCAAACATTTGAAACTGCATGTGACCACTTAGGCTCATAGTGGAGTCAAATGAGGTGTAGAGTGGATGAACCCCATTTCTGAGGGTCTTTATGCAACGGTCGGACAAATAGCACAGAGGAAATAAATTGGATTATAATATCGGTTACGATCTCTCTTTGTGCCAACCATTGAGCTATGTCTCACTTGCTATGAAATTTTCTTTTGGGTTTCGCTAATACTCCGCATTTTTTGAACACTATGAAAATGAAAACAAGTACTCAAAATGATTCTCCCCGTGTTTATACACTAGTTTCATTAATCATATTTTAATGCTGGACAAAAAATTCTTATTACTTTTGCACCTCATAGATTATACTACTCTCTCCCTTCCACAATTGATTATAATGTTTGCTAATCTAAAATTACGATAACATTTGTTGATTTGTGTAATTTTATTGATTATTTGATAAAATAAATTATTCTTGTCATCCTTTATTTTGTAAAACTTTTAATGTATTTTTTAAATATGTAAGTTTTATTTTTTACTTATGTCTCAATCTTTAAATAAAATTAATTGAAAAAACTTAAAATCTTTCTTTGATTTCCATAATTTCTAATCAAAATAGGGACAAAAAGAGTATATACATACCAATATTATTTTTCACCGATAACACTTCTTTGTGCAACATTTTTCATTGAAAATTGTCATCAATAAAAAATATCTATCTGTCACTATGTTGTGATCTTTGCATACATAGGCTTGGATAGAAATTTGAATCTACAAAAAAATTTTGCTCCAATGAACATCATGTAACTTTTATTAGATATTTAAATTCAAGTTCTAAAACCTTTTAAATTATAGGAATAATGTATTTATACTTTATACAGTTAAACATAGTACATGAACTATTACATGAAAAAAACTAGTACATGATGATTCGTAGGGGATGAAAAAAAATCACTTTTTTTAATCTTGTTTGTTAACAGTGTTTTTGTCATTATAGTTTTAGTAAAATGTTACTACAATAATAGTGTAGATTAGTTTAAAAAAAATAAAATTAAATGTTATCGTAAGATAAATTTTTAAAAACCATAATAATTTGAAATAATTTTTTTGATTAACGTTTGAATAAAATATTAATGACGTAAACTAATTGTTTTCGTTTTGAAAATTTAATCAGAATAATCTAGGCTATTTTTATCCCAAAAAAGCACTCTAAATAAGAGTAAAATATTAAAAAAATTATTCAAAATAATTTTAACTTTACCCAGTATTTAAAAAATAATCACACATTTCACCGTGATGCATAAAAATATCAACTTTACTACATTTGCGAGTTTTAGATTGATGTTAAGTTGCTAACGGCGGGTTAACAGAAACGACTTGTTTTGTGCAACAAAATAATAGTTGAGACAATTTTTATGAACTTTCGTATTTTTTTTTTGAAATTTCATTTAAATTCTTAAAATGACTTTCTATCTCCATTTCCTTTCTTTAAAGATTAGTCTTTTCTTAGAAAAGATAAAAATAGATATAAAAATAATGAAAATGAGAAAAAGTAACTAAAACCATACAAAATTCATGAAATCAATAACGTAATCAATATAAATTAAACTAAAACAGATAAGAAATAAAATAAAAATATAAGGAATGGAAGGTTCTAACACTTTACGCATTATACAGAGTATTAATGCACTACCTCTTTTTTTAGAGAACGATTAAAGTTTGAATTATTTTAGATAATTATTCTTAAAAATACTAAATAACTTGTACATTAATACTCGGTATAGTGTGTAAAATATTAAAACCACTACTCAATATATTTTTAGTTTATTTGTTATTTGTTTGATTTTAATTTCTTTTGATTACCTTATTTATTTAATTAATTTTGCATGATTTTAGTTATTTTCTCATTTTTCGTTATTTTTATATCTATTTTTTACATTCAAAGTTATACTAACCTTTAAAAAAGAGAAAAGAAATGACGGAAGTAGAAAGTTATTTTGAAAAGTTTAATGAAAATTTAAAAAAATTAAAAACAAAATTCATAAAAAAATATCCCAACATTCATTTTGTCGCGCAAAATATGACGTTTTCGTTAAACTGTTGTTAGTAAACTTAACGGTGACCCAAAATTTGTAAATTTCAGTAAAGTTGAGATTATTATGCATGACAGTGAAATATGCTACTCCCTCCGTCCCACTATATTTGTCCACTTTCATTTTTACACACCATCCAATGCACTTCTTTAATTCATTTTATCTCGTAATTTGTATATTAAAAAATTATAGAAATTATATATTAATAATCTATATGTTAAGACAAATCAAACATGATCATACATGACTATATTTAGGCTTACACATTGAGAGAATTTGATGAGTCAAAGTACTTAGATGAACAGTTCCAAAAGTCAAAAGTGGACGAATATAGCAGGACGGAGGTAGTATTATTTTCAAAAGAGTGGAAAAAGTTGTTACTCCGTATTATTTTGGATATTTTCCTAAAATATAGAGGAAGTACCAAAATAAGAAATGCATGATACTACTCTCCAAAAAAAAATTGCACTGTGACGATGTAGTGTTGTATATGGATATTGTAATGTATGTTGTCATGATCAGTAGTGTTAAATATATTCTATATTTAATGTAAATATATTGTTTCCTATTATTGACTCCTACTGTGTATAGGAATAAGAATCTCATGTCTATATAAACACATGTACTCCCACATATTCTTTCAATGAAAATAATCTTTCTACATGGTATCGGAGCCTAAAAACACAAAACCCTAATCCCCCTCTTCTCCTCTTCTTCCTCTCGGCCTAGTCACGCCGTCGCCCTCCTCCTTGCGCTGCCTCCTCCTGCGGCGCACTCGGACTCCCACACAACCGGCAACCTCCTCTTCCTCTTTCTCTTACCATGGACGACGTATGCGAGATCACCTCTCAAAATCTCTCCTCTAAACCCCCACATCTTGCTTTCACAACTGTCTCCAACGTGAAACTCCACGTTCTTGTTCAACTCAGCCTCTCTCAACCTAATTATAAGAAGTGGAGTCGTTTGTTCCTCCTCTTAGTCAGGCGATTCAATCTTCAGGGCTACATCGACGGTTCCGTTGTCCCCCTCTCCGACGACGACGACGAATGGTTCCAACTCGACGCTCTCCTCCAGGGTTGGATTCTCTCTACCATCACCGATGAGGTCTCAGATTTGGTAATCTCCTCTGTCTCTACTGCCTCTGCTCTCTGGAAAGTCGTTCACGACTTGTTCCACGACAACAAACATGCCAGGGCCATGCAGCTGGAGCATGAATTCCGCACAACCGTCAAAGGCAACTCCACCATGGCGGCTTATTGCCAACAATTGCAGAATCTGGCCGACTGGCTGGACGATGTTGATGCACCAGTCTCCCAGCACCAACTTGTTCTCCAGATGCTTCGTGGTCTCCCTGCAGATCTTCAGGCACAAACATCTTTCATGCAATTCCAGGATCCCATGCCAACTTTTCTGCAGGT